AGGCCTAGGGCATCTGGAATGAATGTTCGGCACAAAGCCATGCACATACTGCACTTTACTAGTACTGTAGTGCTGGAGATGAACAATACTTACAATATTTCCTCCCCGCTGGGCGCTGCTCTGTCCTAGTGGGGAGGAAACTGACAGCCGATTGCTGCGAGAGGAGAGCGCTGTGAGCGGCCGGCGTCTCTCCTCCCACACTGCTCAGCCTCCTATCACAGTCCGGCAGAGCGGTGTGTGGGCGGAGACAGCCCATGCTGTCACAGGAGGCTGAGCTCCTTTGCCCACACCGCCCATCCTCCTGCGACAGCGTGTCAGGATGGAACGCCTTATCTACAGCCGCCTGAGTCACCACCTCGCTGATGACAACCTTCTGGATCCCTAAAGCTGGCCATACACCTTACAACTATCTGCAGATTTTCTGTGGTCAGATGGAAAAAGTGCAACAGATTGGCCCAGGTGGAGATTACTCCATCTACACAGTTAAGTTAGATGGAGGAATCTGTTGCACCTTTTCCCATCTGACCACAGAAAATCTGCAGATAATTGTAAGGTGTATGGCCAGCTTTGGGATCCAGAAGATTGTTATCAGCGAGGTGGTGACTCAGGCGGCTGTAGATAAGGCGTTCTAGGAGTTTGGAGGTGAATGGGAGTACGGAGATTGGTCTGGTCCATTGAGGTGTTTTTGGGGTGACCAGGGCATGCTTTAGAGGGGAGGGAAAGATGCCAGTAGAGAGTGAGAGATTGCAAATGTGAGTAAGAGAGTGTAGGATAGAGGCCTCGCTTTACAACCAGAAGACTAGAGGCAGACAAGACACACTACAGGGGAGGGGATGGCTCTGGCTTGAAGGTGGGTATTGCACCAAAAGCATTTTATTTTCCAAAGCTGGAGTTCAGCTTTAAAAAAAACACAAACGAAACGTAATTAGAAACACCGTTTTATTCAAAGTCAGAATAAGTTTAAGGCACAGTAACACAGACTTGTTTCAAGTAAAGAAATTCCTTCAAAATTAACATGTCGTTCTTACTCTCATAAAAAAAATAAAAATAATAATAAAGCAATCATCTAGCAGATCATACCACTCCATTCAATACTTCTGTCAGCATTACCAGTATAAAAAGGATTTTACATTAGTTTTAAATTAAAAAAAAATATATATAGAACATTAAACATTTGTATTTCTTTCGAGGACGTAGTGCAGTTAAAAGTAAAGAATGGTCGGTTTCATATTTTGATGCAATAATGTCACAAATATTTTATGAACTAATATTTCGCATAGATTTTGACGTAAATTTTAGTAAATGGATTGACATGGAATTCTACTGAGGTTTTCCTTGCGCGCTATATTGTACTATATTGATGTCTTGTTCTTCAGGAAATAAATAATGCAATTAACAATTATATGGAATATTTTGTGCCCAGGTGTTTTAAGGTGTTGCCATTAACCTATATGTTTAACATTGACTCAACTCCATCCAACTTTTCAGCATTTATGCCAGGACAATCTCTATGAAGATATAAAAGAGAAAACGGATCTTATTATGGAACTGCAGCCAAAACCTTTGTTTTTGATAGATTGGAGAAGGTTAGAATCTCTACATTTCAGCTGGACAGATTTCCACTTCCTCTTATGCCACAAGAACAGGAAGTGGGCAGAAGTTCTCCCCAATTTAATTTTTTAGTGTTTAGAGTGGGAAGAGGTTAAAAACGACATCAGCCTTTTAGTGTCCTGTATTCACCTGATGCCAAGTGGGAGAGAGATCTTTCCACAGGAGAGAAAGACAGCAATGAAATCCTTACAAAATCTCAAAATCCTTCCTAATCACCTGTTGCTACAGAACTACAGTTATACATATATGCAAATAAGGACTGGACTACAACTGCACTAAAGCAGCCTTACTGAACTAAGGTGCGGCGGCACCCTGGGGTGCATTTTGGCCTCCTCAGGGGTGACTCAAAAGGTCATGCCTTTCTTTCTATGGTACAGGCATGCCGTCAGCACAATGGAAACAAGGGTGGGATCCATTCAGAAAAAAAAAAAAAAAAAAACAGGCCTGCCCCACCTTCCGCCCTTCCTGTGCTGCCGATCCTGATGTAATGGCAGGTCTCTGATGTGATGGGGGACTAAAGTCCCTGATGTGAATGGGGCTCCTAATGTGAAAGTAGGGGGCTCTAGTATGAAAAGGGGACTTCTAAGTGTCTAGTGTGAAGAGGGCTTCTAATGTGAAGAGGGGATTTTGATGCAAAAGGATGGGGGACTCTCATGTGAAGGGGTGCTCCTGATTTCATAGGGGGGGACCCCTACTTTCTGTTTTTGCATGGGATCTTCCCTTAAAATCCACAAGACCCCTTTCTGGTATGGATTTGAGGGCCACCCATTTTTGTTTTACAGTTTAGACTGGGGTGGCTCCAGATTTTGCATACTTTTAAAGAGTGCCCTGACTAAAAAAAGATTGAGAAATTCTGCTATAGAGCATGACCGGGAAGAGTTACTAAATGCAACTTACCTGTGCTAGGGAATGACCAGCTTACACAAGGAGCTGGGATTTGTAATAATTATGAATATATGCACAATACTACCCCTGTTCATGGTTACTAAAGGGCTCCAAGACCTAAATACCTGATCAACATTCAGACTGCTTTCATATCCAAGCAGTTCTCAGAAATATAATGCAGCCAGCTACAGTGCATTATGGAAAATGCAGCTTGCATGACTTACACAATCAAAGTGCGTTTTAAGGGCCATAGAAATATACTGCATTATACTGTATTTATTGCAATGTGCTGACCAGCTTATAGTGATTTTTTTTCAGGCAGGAATATGCAAAATGCACGCAGGAAAATGCAGTAAAGGCACATCAACACCCAAAACACATATCACAATGCAGAAAACAGCATGCATTTTCACAATCAATTTAAAGTGTGAATCTAGTCTCACTGTCACTTGTTACAAAACCTGCAACAGTTCGGCTCCTGGTCACTTATCAGCTTGAAACAAAAAAAAAACACACAAAGTAACATTGCACTAAAGCAGGATTTTCTTGTATTCAAAAAACAAGAGGCTTTAAAAAAAAAAAAAAGTTGCACTGAGCAGTTCTTGGTCACATGGTCCTGGCCATGCCTTCTGCCTGTTTGTCAGTATCATGCAGTATGTGCATGATACAGGGCTTCAGAGCAGCAGAGTGCGTGCAAAGGAAACAACACTCCGCTCACACAAGTTAAGCATAATCCTTTCAGAGTGCACAATAAGCAATGCTGTGCAAACATTGTGTTCAGAAAACAGCATTTATTAATATGACAAAACTAAAGTGGCAAAAGCCAATCTCCTGATTGACTAACTCCTCGGTGATCTCTTTACCTACAGCTGAGATTTTCTGTTAAGTCTAATAAACAGTTGCTAGCCATTATTAGTAATCAAAGTAGTCCAGGCCATTATCATTTAGGTATGTTGGCTCCAACATAACATACAAGTTTACTAGCCATTTCAATGTAGTAGCACAATCATATGTGACCATTACAACTTGCAAGCAAAAACGATATCAATTACAGGCATAAATTAAACTAACCTTTAGAAGATTTAGCTCTTCATCAATTTTTTTTTAAATAAAAAGTAATGCAAAGAAAGGTAACTGCATACACCCCATCACTAAATAAATATATTAGGACATTGTCCTGAATAATTATTGCTTTTGTAATAAGTAATTGCATAAGCAATGTGTGGGGATTGAGTGCTGACTTGTTCTGTTTTTTTTACAAGTGCTTTAACCCCTTCGTGACTGACGACGTACAGTGTACGTCGCCAGCATCGGGGCTGTTTAAACAGACTCCCGGCGACTTTTGCCGCCGAGATCTTCTGAAAACTCACCAAAATATATGCACATTAGAGAAGCTTGCTCCATCTCTCAATAAACTTTTGCCAATTGCCCAAAATGTGCTTGCCTTGTTAATAAAGTTAGGCAAAAATGTCTGTAGGTAATTTTAAAAAAAGCCCGGATCATTCACACAACTGCGCTGGACTAGATAACATAAAATGTGTTGTTTCAGAGAGAGGACATGAGATATATATAGACTGTGACTAAAATGATTTGCGGTTACATTGCAATATCTGTTAATGGAAATAATTAAGGATTGTTCTGTAATGGTGAATGGCACGAACTGACAGAGATATTGAGACGGCTGTTACAGGAAAAGATCTTGTCATGCTCAACTGGCCAAGCATGGTATGAAATGCATTAAGTCTCATAAATGATCTTAGGACTTGAACTTGATCTAACAAAAACAGGATTTTTGTCTTGCCTGTAAAATCCATTTCCTAAAGCACAACACAGGACAACGGGAGTTAATTCTTGAATGGATGATTAAAGGGTTTTTAAATCCTCTGTTTTTTTCCCCATATATCTACAAGCAGTAGATATATGCAAAAAGTTTTTGTTTTTTACCGCTTTAAACTTACCCCCGTCTTTGCCGCGCGCTCCTGTCCAAAAACCCAAAGATGCTCGGTCGGCCGCAAAGTATCTTGGGGCGGGCGCATGCGCAGTTTGGATTTTTGGCCGGGAGACGAGGAGAGAAGCAAGGTAAGTCTATGGACCCGTGTACCCGCATGCAGACACCGTGGGACAGGAAGTGCCAGCAAGGACAGAGGAGTCAGTGCTGGATCGGAGACCTGCAGCGGCGCTGGAGAGACAGATGAAAAGGACAGGAAAGAAGATCGGATTAAGAGGCATAATTTAAGGTAAGTGCTTTAATTAACATTGGGGGGAGAGAAAAAAGTCACTTTAAGCAGCTACCTCCAGGTGATTGGACCCTGGCTGTTAGGACAGCCCTGTATAGCAACTCCCACTTCTAGCCTGCCGCATTTTTTGTAGTAAGCAGTACAGAGTGGATCACAGAAACCAGAAAAGAGAGTAATATGTCCCGTTATGCACTCCAATAAATGGATTTTTACATGTGATGTACCATCAAGAGATTTTGTTTTTCTTAAATAGTGAATAATACATTCAAAAATTTAAATTTGCATTGACGTTAAAGTCTTTACTTTGACTCTGCTGTAAAATAATCCCTTCATGACATGTTTACAGTCATATGTAAAAAGAAGGAAGATCTGTTTAAGATTGGATAGTACAAACACGCCATATACTGAATTATTATCAGAAGTCTCCAACACTGAAGTAGCCAGTACCAAATCCTGGCCTCTTGGTGAAGCAATTCACAGTTCATTGACAAGGAGCAATCTCTGTAGACATCACTCAATCTTCGACATTTCGTATTTGGTCATCATGATCTCCTGCATTAAAAAGGTAAAACCATTAGCTCACACTGTTGAGAAATCTATAGGCATTAATAATAATAATAATAATAATATTAATGTCCCACCTACCTCATCAGAGTCCAATAATACTGGAAGAGCCCTAAAAAAAAAATTAGAAATGATATGATACAAAAGGTAAGCCAAGATTTACAGAATTAGTTTTTGCCAACACACTCATCACCCGTTTGTAGTGGGGTAAAAGGGTATAGTGATTAGTAAGGGACAACTGTACTTTCAGTATCCCCTACGTCCTTGGTTCTCAACTGGTGGGTCCTGACCCAAAAGTGGGTCGCAACCTCGTGTTTAGTGTGTCCCCACGTGCCTTCCACTTTCCTAGGCGAGAGGCTCCTCAGCCTCCCCCTAGCGCAGTACTGTCAGTTCTCGCACCAAGCTGCCATTCAAAATATTCTGCCCGATACGGAGTGTCAGCTTGAGGTGGGGTGGGCTAGGGCTATAGCCGCAAGGGAGCTCTATCCTTAAGGGCATTGCTTACAGGTCCCTTGCGTTCCCTGTAGAGGTGCCTGGACCAGAGTGATGTTGCATTCTGGCTCCTGGCACCTCTACAGGGTGTGCAAGGGAGCTGTACAAACATATGGATGGAGCTCCATCACAGCACAGCAGCCCACACTGGACCTCAAGCTGAGGTTCCACTTCAATTCTCGTAAGATTGGAGTGCATATGTGTGTTTGAGAATGCCAGTGTGTGAGATTGTGCCTCTGGTTGTGTGTGTGTGTCAGTCTTTTCGAGGGTCCATTCACACTAGTACAGTGAGTTAATCACACAGTCCCGTGCAATTAATGCGCTACACCACGCAATCGCACCTACCACGCGTTCTGGTGTGAGAGGTGCATTGCCATTCATTTGAATGGCACCCCAAACGCATATCTCCCACCCACAGTTCTATTGCCCACATCAGAACGCATGGTACCGCAATGCCATGTGTTCCATTCAGTGCAACTTGGGTCATGACTTAATGACCAAGGACAAATGTGGGTCCTGAGGTTACACAGATTGAGAAATACTGCCCTACATAACCCATGTCAGCCTGCAATTCCTATACTTGTTCACGCTCTTTGTCAATCAGCTCTTTGTTGCCGATCATATGCCCCTGACGAAGGTTGTTCAAGCGAAACGCATAGGGAAATATATCCCTATTAAAGCCCTGAGATATCTTTTGTCTAAATATTATATGGATACAAAATATATGGTAACATGATTGCTACATAAGTGGTATAGACTGATATTGGTAAGGATCTTTTGGAATGGTTTGTACATTATACATATGTCATGGTGGTTGTTCCACCTGAATTGAATTTCAAAAATTGTTGCCTCATTTGAACCCCCATTCTCTCGAATATTGTTTAACTATATGAAAATGTATGCAAAAATATGAGAGAGATTTCCACACTGACAGGTGATGCTCCAGAGGTCCCAAAATAAAGCCATATATAAACAAGTGACAGCCTGCATTTGCATTGAACATGCACTGTAGCAATGTCTCCCCTGTGTGTGGTAGTAGGATTCTGATCAAGAAAACACACACACACACACACACAAAAAAAGAAAAAGATAATTACACGTCAGCAAATGAATTTGGGATATTGTCTTCCACCCACTTTAAGTCTTCATCCTGACAAGATAGAAAAACACGTTAAATCAAGTTAAATGAAGTGTCCGGTAATAAATGTCATAGAAGAGTCCAGTCTTTTCCCGTAATAAGTAATAACTGGCACCCATCAGTACATTAAGCCATACAGTTCCCACAGTTTGCATTGTACTTCAATCACTGTAATACAAGTGTGTAGGGATATATCAGAGACTATTCAGCTAGCTGCCTTCAGTACCATTAGGATCCCTATACAAGATTGGCTTAGAGCAGTGTCCAACACCAATCCTGAACACCATCTATACATTATTTATTTCACTACGTGTCCTGAATTATCTGCTGGTTTTACAGTAAAGGATGAAACAGTACTGTTTACAGATTGGCGTTCTAGTTCAGCAAATGCTGTATGATGCTTTAAAGATGAACTCGGGGCAAAAGTGTTCTTAACCCTTGCAGTGGGGCTACCCACTAATTTTTGTCAAGGTACTAGAAAAAAATAAATTATACTCACTCGATCCGATATATCGGAATATATGGGCCGAAAATGGCACTTTGGCTAAATGCTGAAAGCGCCCTTTCATCTGCCAATAAAGTGGCGCATCCGTGCTTTCTTTCCTCCCAGCGGGGAGGAGAGAAATTGTGACAGTCGGCTGAGCGATGCGGGAGGAGAGCGCTGTGAGCGGCCGGCATCTCTCCTCCCACACCGCTCAGCCTCCTGTCACAGTCCGGCAGAGCGGTGTGTGGGCGGAGACAGCCCGTGCTGTCACAGGAGGCTGAGCTCTCCTCCCTGCACTGCTCGATGTCTCCTGTGACAGCGTGACAGGATGGAGAGCGGGTACAAACACTCAGAGATCAGTGATCACTTGTAGATAATTGAGGATAACAGAGTACGTTTACTATAGCCTCAATTATGAATGGATGGGAAGTGATCTACATCACCTCCTGTTCATTCATAATTGTGGTTACAGTAAACATACTCTGTCCTCATGTTATGAATGAACAGGAACACTCAGAGGATTCCTGTTCATTGATAACTGGTGCTGCAGAAAAAGAGATTGAAGACTTCGTGTCCTCAATCTCTTTCTCTATTTTAAAAGGTAAATATCAGGGGTCTGCTTAGACCCCTAATATTTCCCCGAAGCCCCTAAAAGTAAAGTAAAAAATACGGTTTCGTTTCGGTTTTGAAAACATGAGTTGATTACCTGATAACTCTGTTTCCAGGAATCTTCCAGGACAGCCAATGAGAATCTGCTGTCCTGGAAGATGACTGGGGAAATTTCCATTTCGGTGCACCTCTAGTTGAGAACAATTCTGGCCGGAGTTCTGCTTTAAGAATGCAGTGAGTGGGTATTCCCCTAAAGCTCTGCAATGCATATATGGCCTTTGTCCTTCACAGGAACAATATTTGCTTACATATATAAGAGAGCATTGCCTAACATTTTCTTGCTTATACAACACATATTGTGTTGCAGATTAAATCTCTCTTGTGGCACTTTGTAGTCGTGCTGACCAGAAATACCTGGACCAATAATGATGAGGCCTTTATTACTGCCCATGAGTCAGATTTTGAAAGAATAGCTAAACCTAAAAACAAAAATGTAATATATTGCAGCTTACCCATTCTAGCTGTGGCGACTGCATTTATTTATTTTCTTTTTCTTGCAAAGGAATTCAGGTGTTCTTGTAACTTCCTGTGCACTAAATTGATATTTCAAAACAACCCTTTCAGTTTTCCCAGCTACCTTCTGTAAACTAAAAAATGCTTAGCTATGTAATGGAGATGAGAAGTGGAGGAGGGGTTAGTAGTCTAAATCAGGAGAGCAGCCTAGTGACAACCATGGCTCCCTTCATTTATAAAGTGGAATGAGTGAACACGGCTACCCTAGGACAGGAAGAGCATCATTCATATAACTTCCACCCAGAGTATAGCTGAATGGATGCCATTTGCACAGTACTAGCGCCCCTAGATGGCACTAGTGCTGCTCTAATCACGTCCATCCAGCTATACGCTGGGTGAAAGTTTTATAAATGAAGCCCGAGGTATGATATTTGAAGACTAACCAAGTGACATTAAAGGGAAAAAAACCGAATGCAGCCACCACATCTAAGGATTTATAAGCTGTGATATATTACATTTCTTTTGCTGGGTTTAGATACACTTTAATGTAGCAAAGGCCATATATGCTGCTTTGCAGTCCCATTGGGTGTGGCATTCATTTTAAGGTTTGCTATGCAATAAAAGGCTTTTGCGCAAAAGTCCTTTCTTTTGGAGATATTTATTTTAGGTACCCAAAACGGATCGGAAACATATTTTACAAATATAAATGAAAACAAAGCACCTTAAAAGTCTTGACTTACGGTATTGGCAGCAGCAGACTTAGCTGTTCCGTTAGGCTCTGACTTTGTTCCCCTTAACTTCATACCTTCTGAGAGATTACCTAAATGATCTGTAACAAGGAATTCTTCTACTTCATCGTCCGAATCATCCATAAGAGGGGTAAATGCATACCTGGAAATACATAAAACCAGTTTAGCAAGCAGTAACAGATTCCACTACGGATGTTGATAAAACAAAATCTGTATATTTAAAAAGTCAACTAATGTACAGAAAAAAAAAAATCGGTATTAAAAGTCTGGATATGCAGATCTCCAAGCAAAATACAGTATATAACAAACCACTAAGCAGATGATCTCCAGGATAAGCAAATAACTAAATACAAGAGAAGTGCGATCTTTCTTCAATCTGAGCAGTAATCCAGTGCGACACTCTGCCTCTGTGCAGGAGCTTCCTGTAATAAAGACCGGTCACTGACACGTTCTCTCCTTGTGCAAGATGAATGGTCTTGTATCCACCACCCTAGCTTTCCTCCCCCAATAGTAGTTCTTAAGGCGGCCTGTAGTGGGTACGCCTTGTGGGTCCCTCCACAGGTGTAGTGCTGAGAGAAAAGATACACCGCAGTGATGCTGTCACTCCTACTCTTACAAGGTAATATCTTGGTGTGCATAGGCATTTGGTGCACCTGGATTTGTATTTAGAATGCTTGTGGCTTTTGAACTATATATTTAGATGAACGTTTTTGTGCCCAAAGTTCAACTTTAATGCGGGACACATGCCTCAGATGGTACAGGTCCTCACCCTCACTGATAAAAAGGTAGAACTTTGTATCTAAAGGCCCATTCACACCATTGTGGAGCGTAAGCACACACCATAGCATGTCAACATGCGTTGCGTTAAGGCAGCACATTGATTTGAATCCTCTGTCTAATGAGCCACAAAGAAAAAAAGTGCATCTACTATTTCTGATCGCGCATGTTAGTCTGCTCTGCTGCAACACACGTCCACTGACAATGTGCATTTAAATGCCGTTACTCTCTTCTGCAAAAGCACCAGTGACAAAAGGAAGCTTATACTGTGAGAAAATGCTCATAAAAATAAGAGTGAGCAGTGCAATTTAAACCCAGTTTAAAAAGTGATCCTGTCACCACAGGCATACTTTTAAAAATGAGGCCAGCAGTGGCTGCTTTACTGCTCTTTGGCTGCTGCAGGTTTTCAAACCTTCCGGGTGGGTGTATACCTGCTCCTCCTGCCACATAGTGATTCCACCTGCTGGAATGTACATCACTACAGGACGCCCAAGCAGGTGGAAGGAGTAAGTATTTGACCAACCCTGAAGGTTTAAATACCTGCAGCCAAAGGATAAAAGTGGCGCAGCAGTGTTTTAAGACGAGGGCCACCAAAAAGGTAAGTATAGATGAGTGTTTATAGGTCTGGCCTCCTTTTATAAGTGACCCTGTTGTGACATGTCATAGGGATTCATATCACAGACTCAGGGAAAGAGGGAGTACCAAGATCCATGAGGCATCATTAGCAAGCACACCTGACAGATATAGCTACTACAGTGCAAATAGGTGGCACATATTGCCTGCAACTGCAAGGCAAAGGTGGTGAGAGTGGCACCATGTCAAACTTATTTACAAAGAAGATAGCCTCTAAAAATTGAGATACACAAACTTAAATAAAGATTACTATAAATATTTGCACTTTAATATGTGTTACATAACATAACCAGAAACAAAAAATATATTACAAACACCTAATTATTAAAACCAGCCTATTAGAAAACATTGAATTAGTCCTGGCATCAAAAAGTCCCATTATATTCCATTAAGACAAAATCTGAAGTCTTCCTGACTGAAGACATCCATGCATTGTGCAGAAGCCCCCTAATTTGTAATTGTGATCCAGTATATTCATTTAGGTAGATAAGCGGTTTTACTTCATCACAGACCATCTACTCAATAATGTATGGGATCTCACATGATTGTAGCGGAAATATAACATTATTTATTCATATGTAATTCACATGATTCCCTGAAATAATTCAGATGTGCTCTGCATAATCCGCTGCATTGATTAATATGCAGTTCACATAATCAGCTATATTGATTTATCAACACTGCTGCGTCACTTTTCTCCTTTTGCTGCACGGATTTAAACCTTCTGGATAGGTCAAATACCAAACATAATCAGCTACATTGATTCATGCAAGTTATAACAATATTCATCATCCAAGTTACATGATTGTAAATTCATAAAATTTCACCAAAAACACCCCTCTCACCACCCACCCGATATGAGTAAAATCATACTCACTATGACCATAAATGATATAGGTAGTCCAAACTGTGCACCAAAGATACCAAAATGTATAAAAATCCAAGGGAAGTAACTTAGGATGAGGACAAAGCTACACAATTAAACTTCCGCCAGCTTAAAACAAGACCTCCTAAATTTTATCTTTCTTCGAGTATCACAAGGATAGATCAGCTTTGACTCATTTTCCATATTTATAGACCAAAGTATTACATTTCATAGTCGTAGTTTTCTTATAGGCTGGTTTTAATAATTGGGTGTTTGTAATCATTTCTGTATTTCTGGTTATGTAACACATATTAAAGTGTGAATATTTATAGTGATCTTTAACTACCTCCGGGCCGGCCGTAGTAAAAAAACGGCCGGCCAGGAGCTCTCTCGATCTCAGCGGGCGTCTCTAGACGTCCGCTCAGACACGCCCCCTTGTGCGCGCCGCCAGGCACGCGCGAGCGGGAAATGGCCGGAATTTAAAAACGGGCAGCGATGCCCGTTAATAGACATGCGATCCGCCGGCTGTAGAGCCCGGGATCAGCATGTCGCCTCTGTCACATGGGATCAGAGGGAGCTCGGTACACGAGCTCCCTCCGGTCCCCTCTCCTCTGAACGAATGCAGAAGTGTTGTATAATACATCACTTCCGCATTCTTGTGTCACTCTCCAGCTTCAGAAGCTGGAAAGAAGCTGATGGAGCAGATCTCTGCTTCATCAGCTTCTTTTGGGGGGTCCTAGGTGACATTAGGGGTCTTGGAGACCCCTGATGTCTTCATAAAGAGGACCTGTCACATATTTTGCTATCACATAGGGGGGTTTTATTAGCCCCCGTATGTGATAGCGATAAAGTTTAGTGAAAAAAAATAAAAAAAAATAAAAGTCCCCCCCCAAAATTTTAAGTTACACATTAAAAAAAATTTTTTTTCTTTAATTCTTTTTTAAGTCCCCACCCATACATACACGCATGCAAACATGCGTCGGGGGCGCATACGTGCAAAAAAGACGATTGCGCCCATTACGCCGCACATGTTACATATCGCCGCGAACGTCGGAGTGAGAGCAATAAGTCTAGGGCCATCAATCACTGATAACACTAAACTGATGAGCGGTAAAAACGTTTAAAGTGTCGCCTATGGCCAATTTTGGTTGCCGTCGTTTTCTGCGATGTCGCGGGTGCGCGCAATTTTAAAGCTTGACATGTTTAGTGTCTATTTAACCGACGTGACCTGATCTTTTATATTTGACCAAAAAACTGGGTAATAATAAATGTTTCCTAACATAATGTTACAAAAAATGTTTTTTCAAAATTTTCAGTAATTTTTCCTAATTATAATAAAAAATAAAACCCGTAGTGGTGATTAAATACCACCAAAAGAAAGCTCTATCTGTCCCCAAAAAATGGTATAAAATTCATTTCAGTACAGCGTTGCATGACGGAATAAACGTCAGTCAAAGTATCGCAGCGCTGAATACTGAAAAATGGCCTGGCCAGGAAGGGGGTCTAAACACCTGGTCTTGAAGTGGTTAAGTTTGTGTATCTCAATTTTTAGAGGGCTGCCTTCTTTGTAAAATATGATTTATGAGTTTGTGCCCATTTTGATAATTATGTGTATATGGGTTATAATTTTGGTATTCCCACCATTCCATAAGCCCTCAGTCCGAACATGTCCAACTTAATTCTGGACAAAACTGAACCATGATATTAATAACTGACCTTGTAAAAAAAAAAAAAAAAAAAGAATATGGGTACCTTTGGTTGTTTGAAGACGGCCCCCATAAAAACATTATAACGAGTAAGACCACAGAAAACAGGAATCTCCAAAAAGCATCGTCCACCCAGAGCTCCATCCAGTCCTAGAAAACAGAAGACGCTAAAATAGGATTGACAGGAGAAGTCATATTGAATTTGATTATAGGGACAGGTGTAGTGGACAGTGGAGTCCAAGGATATTGTTGATTTGTATTTATACCAGTTCTAATTCTGTATATATACTGTACATGGATATATGTGCTTCCCTTATTGCTTAATAAACCTTAAGAGCAGCTCCATATCAGCTTAAAGGATAAGTGTATTTTCCTAGCTTTTAAAACAAAATCCCAGCAAATAAATTATTTTTCATGCCAACAATTATTTATCTCTTTTGAGCTAATTTTTCAAAGTTTGTAATTTACATAGCCCCTTAAAAAGGAGAACTATGAGGTGAGTGCTTTTCACTCACCTCATAGTCCTAGCCGACCTGTGACAATGAGACTATCACAGGTCGGCTCAGTAGATCGGGAGGTGAGCGAACACATACCGGCGTTCGCTCACCTCTCGATCCTGTCACGGCTCTCTGCCGTGACAGGGGAGGGGCTGGATTCCCCCCCTCCGATCCGCCAGGTATGACTGGCGGAACGGACGGGGGAGGGGGCGGGTACAGCTGGCTCTGCCTCTAGATAGGCAGATCCAGCTGTCAGTCACGCAGCTGGGCGGATCCCGGCATAATTGTCGGGATCCGCTTCAGCGTCTCAGTATACCGCGAGCAGCAGCTCGCGGTATACTGAGCCTAGGGTGACGGGAGGACGCTAGTTTGTGTCCTCCCGTTACCCTAAGGAGAACTATGGGGAAAAGCCTTAACCCCATAGTTCTCCTTTAATATCTTCACTATCATGTTGGAATCTGTGTTTAGCAGCCGTGATCAATGTAATTCAATGATTAATCTGCTGCTGCTGACCACTAGTGATGGGCTCCGGCGTGTTCGCAGCTCCACGTGCCGAGGCCGCCAGGAAGCCGACAGCGCGCAGCGCCAATCACAGGCACTGAGACATATCCCAATCTACGCAGCTGCGGACCGGGATAATGTCTGTGATTGGCGTTGCGGCGCTGTCAGATTCCTGGCAGGCTCGGCACGTGGAGCTGCGAACACGCCCGAGCCCATCACTACTGACCACCTGCTCCCAGTCTCGACAAGGCAAGGGCAGTCTGTTAAGCTGGGTAAACATAGAAAATTTTTAGCCAAATCAGATGCAAGTACTGTTCAGGTATTTTGACAGCCAGTGGGGCCCACTGTTGTAGTGCTATAGCCGTAGTGGGTTGATTTCTCCATCCACGCTGTTTAACCAAAACGCTGAATGAAAAGGATTTAACAGTGAATATCCAGCTTTACTTTACTGCAGTGCACAACAGCTCTCCAGGTTACAGAAAGATGTCCGCTGTGCATGTGTTGGGCATACAACTCTCTGCACACTGCAGTACATCTGATCTGTGCTGCTAAGCCATGCAGTTTCTACACAGAAGAGAAGAGAGGTAAGGAGGGGAATCGTTTGTCATTTGACACTTTATTAGCATGCTTATAACTCTGCAGTCATTTCTGAGTAGAGCGTGAAAACTGTATTGTGAGTAGGTGGAACAGGGTTGTGCTACTGCGTGGAGGTACACTATGGGATGTATGAAAGCAACGCCCAGTGAGTAGATTAAGGCCATACTCACAAGGGCACATGAGCATTGTTGTCACCAAAGTGCAATGATCACAGGGGAAGTCTCATGCTGACAACTGATTTCATCCTACCCTGAGGCTTGTAGAGAGAGATTTCCCTATCTATGGGAATTTTTAGAGTATGGACTTTATTTAGATGTTACACAGTTAGAAGAAAAGTCCTGTTTGGCAACTAATGAAACCACTGAGGATCTTGTTGAGTATTTCCTAAACATCTGCATATATGTACCATATAGTAAATGGTCAATTCACTGAGAGGTATGAATAATTTAAACTATGCCGGTTATTTAACTTTACAAAAATCTTCTCTCAAAAATGTTCAGCTTACAAAAGATCAGTACCTCAGTGGTGTGGAAGCATTTCTTTCACAGGAAATTAGCATTTAGCTGTGGAAAACCTTCTGTCATGATTTGTTATTTGATCTCCCAGCACATTATAGTATATCTAATATATAGTATATATAAATAAAAATATTTACAGATTTTATGCTTTAGTGAATTGAACATATTGAGGCTAGTTTATTAAGCTCCAACTGCAAAGAGCATTGATGTGCAGTCACCTATGCATAGCAAATCACTTTCATTATTTGACAGTTGAATAAATAGAAGATTTTCTTTAAAGCTGAAGTCTAGTCCGCCTATATTTTTCTTTTCAGAGCTCTCCTTTCTCCCCTCATCAACATGCTAACTATAACCATTAGGTTTTTTTTTCATTACATATCTCATTTTAGGCTAGGTTCACACCTAGGCAATTGAGATAGTGAGCTGTTTTTGCGCAGCTGTCGCATGTTCTCGTTTGCGCGACTGCGATTTGAAAACCGCATGGTTGTCGCACAGGTTTCAATGCATAGAGATGCCTATGGGACCCAAACCGCGCAAACACTGCCCGAAAATAGCTCCTGCACCTTTTTGCACGACAGGCGACAAACTGCAAAGGTGTGAGCAGCCTCCATTAACCTCAATGTGAATCTGTGTTTTGCACGAAAAAATTCGTCTAGGTGTGAACCTAGCCTAAGAACCAGTGACAATCACTGCTTCACTGTGCAATGCAGACATATCATGGCTGGTGGGAGGGGCTGAACAAAGCTTGCTGAAAACATGAGGGAACCCTGCCTCAGTACGTCTCTCAAGAGCCCTCAGCCCTGATGGAAGCAGAAGGCTGGCTCTTAAAGGGGTCTAAGGCAAATATTAAAATGCCTTCATGGGTGCAGTGTAAGCAATTTCAGTACAGAAGGAGGAGTCTGTACAATTCTGCAAGGTAAGGCTGGGGGTAAAGTGTTCCATCCCATAGCAACAAGACAGCCTGCTTTATCAAAATGATTATGAAGACCATACAGAAAAAATAGATTACTTTGTATAATACTTACAGATGGACATGGTGTCAGTCTGAACTTTTTAGTTGTCCATGCCATAAATATTACAGATGCTTAGAAGAAAAAAAAAGAGCACACTCATTAGAACATGTTTTCTGAAATTACATGACTAAGGAAAAAAGAGTCTAAAAACTTACCTAATATGGCGAAAATTAATGTATTTGTAAAGTGTCTGTATAGTGAGTATTTCACCGTGTTCTTTCTTAACTTCAGTGTCTTCATTGTTTGAGCCAAGCTTACAAATATGTATGGAGCAGCTAAGGAGAACACTAAAGGCATTTATATGATTGGACTACAAACATGAAGCATGCACAGACAGGAAATACATCTCTCCCAGCAAAATACTAAGGTCAAGGTACTGCAAGTAAAAGGTTATGGCTTGCAGTTTACACCACTATATAAATGTCAGGGCAAAGAGAAATAGGATTTTTGTACCGTGGTAAAACCTTTTCTAGGAGTTCATTGAGATGTACAGGAATTCAGATACGGCCAGGACATCTAAAAGAAGTCCAACAAAGTGGCGGGCAATAACCCCCAACAGGCCCAACAAAATTGGGGACTGCCTGCCGTCCAAAAGACTCCTGAATCCGATAACAGGTGAAGACGAGCCAGATAGGGGAAACTGTCAGTACAACCAGAGGGAGGGTGCAAAAACAAGTAACCTGGAGCTGAGGACCAAGATAGAAAAAAAAACCAAAAAAAATCACCACCAGCCTCCATACAGAAGAGAACATCGACAAAATATGGTCCTGGCAAGAAGACAAGTCGATCTAAGTGGTAAGGCCCTAAGTCTGTACACCCCACTAACCCTGAGGATCAAGGGATGAGAACTCCAGAGAGCCTCGACAACTAACCACGCTAAGCTAGACTTACCAGGTAAACCTAGCAGGATCATCAGGTAAAAATGAAGAAAAAATATATATATAAGGACTGGTAAGCTGCAATATATTACATTATTATTCTTGGATTTAGAATATACCGTACTTTAAGTCCCTGTCCCACAAAAGAATAAAAAAGTAATAATTCTACCAAAATTTTGTTGAAAATCAATAACCCTAAGTTTAATGCACGCAGGACACCTGCAGCCCACACAGTAAGAATGCTGCCTTGTAGTCTACCAAGACTACAAGGCAGCAGTTCTTACTACTGAACCATTAACACTGATTAAAAACTGTGAAGCTTTCTTTTAAGGGGAAGAAATAATCAAATAACTTCCTTTATAGAATATAAAAGTTAATGCAAGAGGTTATGTGATTTTCATCTAAAAGGATATCCACCAGCACAATGCGGAGTCAAGAAGAGCTAGTGGGATACTGGCCAGTAAAATCAAGTCAGAATCCTTTGTCTGCAAAAAAAAAGACAAAAAAAAGACAAAAAAAGCCAATTAGTACATTCTCTCACTTTATAACTTACCCTGAATAATGATTTTTCTAGTAGAAAAATCCATTCACTTTGGACAAAACTACACCATTTTTTCTGGTTCTGATCAATTTTGTGGGATAAACTATATCGAAGCTGTAATTTTATAGCCCAGCTTGTTTGATCAAATTGCATATGATTGATCAAAACTAATTGGTTCAAGAGAGCTAATTTTCAGACAACCACTTTCAGAGGTATGTTCGATTCTAAGTCAATAGAAAGTGGTTAAAAATTACCTAAAAGTTGCCACATGTATGGCCAGCTTTACGGCTGCCAAATGCAACCATTGGGGTTCAGGAGATACAACAAAGCCTGACATTCATCAGTACAGGGCCCAGGATATGACCCTTGCAGCAGAGGCAGAAATAGTTTATTTTAATTCTGTTGGGGGCTGACAGAAGCCCTCTGTATAACTTTACTAAATTACTATATACATACACACATACATACATATATATATATATATATACACACACACACACACACACACACACACACACACACACATACACTAAAACAAGATGATAATAACGTGCTGGATTAGTGTGATCCTAGTTCATTTTATTACTTCATTGCTGTGCTGTATGTGTATAGGATAATGCCTTGGCTGGCGCTCGTGCAGAAAGTTTCAAAAAAATTTTAATTGATCAAAAAAAAATTTTATCGATCAAAAAGATTAACGATTAATCGAGAAATGAATCGTTAATTTGCACAGCCCTAATATACACTATTGATTTTTTTGTGTTAATAAATGATTTTACTGTATAAATAAATTTTCCAATATGTAATACAATATATCTAACACACTGCGCTCTTATAATTAAACAAAATGAAACTAGTGCTATAAAAATACATTGCAATAAAAATTTGTATACAAAAAAAATGAACGTGTCTCATTAATTGTGTATAATTGTAAAAGTGTTAAAAGGTATCAGAAGTCCAAAAGTGACAAAACGCATTGGACTGACTTGGTGGCATCATCACATTCTGCGAGGCGCTCCTTGCTCTCCCCGAGACCAAATAAGTATAACTCCCATGTTGGAGTAAGCTTGGTTTGACCTTATATATCTATATAAAAGGTCAGCATAATCTGGTCAGTTTACATAATTTGCGGGATCCTGCATATCAGAGCACACGGATAGCAAAAAGAGTTGAACAAAATCTTATTGGTACACTAGGGTTCATTGGACTCCATGGCTGCTACTGGTTACCAAAGCCGGACATTTTCACCTTTTTTTTTTTAGGCACTTTTGAAAGTCATTTTTATTGTATATCTGTCTCTCACATTAGTTATTGTTAGCACAGTGGTTGATGAGCATCATGGACATCATCACATACACTTTTGTGTTATGGGATACCTTGTTGACACTTTCACAATTTTTACACAGCATTAAATGAAAGACATTCCATTTTTTTTTTATATACAGATTTTTTTATTGCAATAGATTTTATTATTTAGAAATAAGATTAGTTAGAAAACTTTTTAGAAATATTGTTAGTTTATGTCTTTTTTAGCCATTACAGAGCAGCTGTAGGTTAAAAATGAGATTGGAGTTCAAAGCGTGTTATGGTTATTCAATATCTATTACAGATTACTTTAAGTTTGTTTCATTTGTGGAAAAAGGCTAATACTAAATAGATTTTTAAACAGTCTGTTTTTAAGAAATCTAACAGGCTTCAGTATGAGGGGCATGTGGACTTTGTTAAAATTGTGCTCCATTTCACCGAACTTCTAATTTGAATTCCCAGGCCATGCTCCTTCCAAAATGCCGTCCTCTATCTCCTAATGATTTTACTTATATCTAAAACTTCTACTTTAAAAGCTGAATGCAAAGAAAAAGACGGGCTAAAACTAAACATATGCGCCTCAAATGAAAGCAATCATTACATTAATTAATTAATCTTGCACACTAAAACTAAACCCTGCCCCCTTCTCCATGGAGCGAAATGCACAAATCTCATCATACCAGGCAAGCCGTGCAATTCTACAATTGGCTTTGAGGAAGATATCTGCAAGTGCAGAACATCCATGCCAACATACTCATATGAGAGGTCCTACATCAGCAAGCATCGACCAACTCTTCCACCACAGTTTAGCTGAAGCTAGGACTTGCATCCAGCTATGGTTTACATCGGAATGGGAAGGCCTCTCTGTGCTTCTTAGATGGTGTCAGATTTGGTCTAGTTACGTAGGTTATCAAATTTAGTAACACAACTACCTTAATAAACAATAAATCAAATTATATTAACAGAAGTACATAAAATATTTTTCTCTTACCCCAATAACGCGCATCACTCCTTCAACTGTGGCAAATATGAGATAGAGGACACCCATTCCAACTACACGATGCATCACCGATCCCAAGCGTGGTCTGACCAAGAAAACAGGTTTGACATGTTAACATACATAACTTGATCATACTGCAATAATTACTTTCAGCTACATAAAAGCAAACCCATAGGGGAAAATGTATCAAAACTGGAGCAAACAGAATCTGGAGCAGTTGCCCTTGGTAAGCAGCCTCTCTCCTCAGTTTGCTCAGGTAAGATCTGAAAATGAGACAGAGAAGCTAATTGGCTGCAGTGCCAATCTGCTCCAGTTTTGATAAATTCCCCTCATAGTGGTTTCAGGGCATGAAACCACATAGCTGTGCCTTGCAGCACACACCCTTTACAAATGGAGTAAACTAAATTTTTTGTCCTGTACCACATGCAGTTAGTGTGTTTGGGTTTCAAAAGAGAGAGTGAGTGAGCGAGACAGACACACACACAAACTGTCCTTCAAAAGGACAGTCCCGTATTTTCTCTTCATAGAGGCCAGATATGGCAAAGCTCAAAAAATACTTTAGGTAGGATCAGAAAAATGTATATTCTAGATTTTCCTTAAGAAGTGTGATAGCTGCACCAACTACACTACAGCTTTCAAAAGAGGGGGCTTTTGTTTTTGGACAGGGCCAAAAACAAATTTTAGGTTGCCATTTCCTTACAAAAAAACTGTGTCCATTCTTTATAAGGGCTGAATATTGCAGCTTGGCAGAAGTTTTAAAACTGAATCACTAGCTCCACCCTTTCACATTTGCATTGATAAACAGGTTGGAGTGCCAACAAAAGGTGACAAAAGAGCTGGTTGAAGATTACAGGAATCCATGTCTTAAACTAACCATACATGGCTCTAATTTCGGGCGGTTCTTGCTCAACTAGCCAAAATTCGAGCTGTGGGTGGTTTTCTTTGGGCACAACTGGGTTCAACTAAAGTAGATTTAAAAATATTTATTGAGCTGGGTGGAAAATTATCAGGTGCAGTCATTGTGAGGTATTTAGAAACGATTGGGTGCCGCAGCTGTCTGAATACAACAGCCAGCAGTAGATATTTCTCCATCCATACTGGCTAGCCTTACAGCAAACGTAAACAAAATAACCAGAAATTATATATTCGCTAGAATAAAGAGACACTTCGCAGTGTTTCAAGTAGATAAACATAAGCAACTTCTACAGTAAAGGCTAATAAAGTGGGATTAAAGTGAAATAACACCTAACCCAGCCTCATGCACACTCTGCTGCCAAAAAGTTAAGCGACCCTGTCAGGGTGTTAAAACACTTAACAGCAGTACCTTGTGAAGAAAACAGGCCAGGCAGCCTGTTTGCTAAAACTTTGTTCCACCCTATCGAACACTTCCAGGTGTGTGAACAGCATGTCCCTCTCTGGCCCCTATGGTTGCTCCTGAGAACCCCAAAATCACTACAGTGTCTTTCAGTGACTAGGGGTCAGCAGGAGGAACCACAACAGTCACACATGGCTAGATTTTCCTCCCATGGGGAAGAACAGACTGCTGCACGCAATTACACGAAGCACCTGTCCCTTCAGGGATTTCATGGCCCTGCACACTGTATGAATGTGTACACCCAAATGAATGGGCCCCTTAGGAAGACAAGTTCCAGCATATACTGACCGCTGAAGCAGAATGAACATACCACCTATATTACAGTGGCCCACCATGAAGTTTAGGGAGCTCTCAAGAACTTCACTGTAAATGGGTAGCTGCTACAGAGTAACACAACACCCAATGAGATGGTACATGATACCCAATTAGATGACACACGAGTGGGCCAATGGTGCTCGAGACAGCACTGGAAATGATAGAAAAAGGGCATCATTAAATCATTTGATGGAAGAAACCAGCTCTGCAAATACCAAGAGACCAGGTGCTAAACAGAGAAGAGGAAGACATTAATTACAGATATATTATTACATAATTCACTATGTAGCAGACTTGAATCACAAAAAAACTTACATGTCACTCCCGTGCTGTTTATATTTTGATATTCAGCGTAGAATACCGCTTTTTCTAGCATTCCCAAGAAAATGACAGCAGCAATCCAAAACTGTATCCGTAGCAAATCTTTCCAATAACAAGCAGACCAAACGAACCACATGAATCCAAAAACTATGTACATTATGCACATTACCATGTAAAACTGTAACACAAAATGTATAAGCAATAAATACACAGTCAAATATAAACACATGCCTACATATAAATGTAATGCACCAAAAAAGCATGTAGCATTCTGGCAGCGCACCACAACGCACTTCTATTGGCAAAGTACACTGAATCAGAATGAATGGCACCGCATCAACTTATATAACAACATGTGCAACACAATAGTGTGAATGGGCCCTCAGGGGGCCCAGCCAGCTGTTGAAGCTTCTTTGATAAACATTATAATTAAGTAAAAATAAAATAAAATAGGGAATAACAATATTTGACATGATCTTTCCTGAGAAGTTTCTCTAAACTGAATTTACCTCTTGAATGCAGGGGCGATGGGGAATTTATGTTTACCATAATTGACCCTGTCTGTACTGTGCTTGCACATTACATTAGAAGTTGTAAAACTAGATTGGACTACGGTCTGTCCTAAAAAGGGTTAAGTAATTAGAAGCCTGGCTTCTTGCATTGTATGTTAATGAGAGGAAGCCCAGAGTCCCTAGTCTTTCTATGGAGCGTCCTCTCACTTTAAAATTGTCCAGAGTAGCTTGCAGTCTGCACAAAGGCTTATTCTACAGAAACATCTTATGGTGACTGTGTCGCTGTGACCTGGCTTGTGTCTGGAAAGTGCATAGACAGTGAGATAACAACTGTCAATAAAGAGTCCATCTCCTTTGCAGACAATGGTCAGGAATGAAGAGGAGTGAACTGTCATAGTCTGTAACTGTGTAAGTTTCTAAATCACACAGATGGGATAAAAGCAACATACACTGTGGGAGTTAGGTGACTGAGCTGTGAAAAATAATACAAGGTGAGACTTCTTTAAAACTTAGCAAAATAAAGTTTTGAAATTCTAATTGAGATTTTGGGGCTGGATGCTTTACTCACACATGAGGTGTTATAATAGATCCCATTGGGATAGTACATAGTAGCACTGATGCCGTTTTTTCCGGTATCGAGTACCGATATTCTTTTTTCGGTACTCGCGAATACCAAGTGCCGGTGCCGTGTACCCAGATTATTAGGAAGTCAGGCAGCGGGTCATGAACAGTCACCCGGCTTCCTGATTGCCTGTGAAGACTGTGTTCTAGCAAAAGAACACCGGCTTCACATGCTAAGGCTGCCTAGCTTTGTGATCAATCGGGAAGCCGGGTGGCAAGTCATGAGGTGCCGTCCGGCTTTCTGATTGGTCAGGAAAGCAGGCTGCCTAGCAACAAGTGAAGGCGGCTTCCTAGCCACGGGTCATAAGCCACCGCACCGGCTTCCTGATTGGAAAGGAAGCCGGCTCCATGCTCTCTCGGCACCTGCGGTCAGCGGGAGATCTCCCTCTGAGCGGAAGTTCCGGTATCGAAGATAAGTATTGGAGCATTTGGTACTCACCCAAATACTCGATATCGGCACCGATGCTAGTATCGGTATTGGTGTATCCCTAGTACATAGCATTTCATAGTTTGCATAAACCAGAGTGGGAATATATTTGTCATTATTATGGCACTGAAGGCGTCACTAGGATTGGTAAAATCAGTAAAGAAACGACAGAATGTCTCCTCTGCCCTCCAATACAGGAGATCGAGCACAGAATTGCGCTCAATCTCCTGTGCAGCCCGGCTTGCAAGACAGGAAGCAATGAGTACAGCGCTCCCTGTCTCACTGATCACACAGAGCAGATCGGAGAATGGACATTCTTTGGTCTGCTCCCCACCCTAAATTAATTTGCTGCGCTAATAAAATAGTCCCATCTCCCCGAGCAGACCGAGACTTGATGGTGTCATCTGGGTGCGCTCCGCATCCTCCCAGTGATGCCGCTGACTGAAATATATATATATCTAATCTATATCTACATAAAATGAAAAAGGTATAAAAAGTAACCGTGACTTCTGGAGTATTCCTTAAGCTGCTCTTTGCTCTCTTTAGGAAAAAAGGGTCATTTTAGGCAATGGGTTGTAGTGAGCCCAGCAAGTTCACATTTTAAAACAACCCATTTTGTAAATAGACTGCAGATCTCACTAAAAAAAGAAATGTTGTGCTGTAAATCACTACAAAAAAAAATCATAGTTCTGTAATGTCACTGAATGCTTCGCACTAATGAGCCTTGAAATTATTTATTAAGCAGAGTCCCATGTGGCACTGTTAAAAATTGTGCTTTAGTTGGCAGCATGTCTGGTGCTTTGGAGAGAAATGTCACTGGTGATTGGCACCACATTCCTCCAGACACTCCATGAAACAGTTTTCTTTTACTCTGTGGCACATCTTTGTTATGACATTTCTTCATTAGATCAGCATACAAACTTACAATCATTAATGGCCACTCTGAAGCAGAAATGTACCCGTAAGGACTTTCCATTGAGGTATAAACTGTTCAGGAATAAAAAAACAAAAACAAATAAGGATCACAAATTTTAAAAAAATGCTTTCAATTGACACTTTACAGATCAACAGATGTCATGCAGTCAGGTGATCCATACAATCCATTTTGTCTGCATGTGTGGGATTTTTAGTTTGAATATGCTTTAAATGCCATATGACTTAAGGATAGTGTTTGAAGCAACCTGTCAAATGGCAACCTCATGTTGTTATGCATGTTGCAAAATAACCCTCTGGTAGCTGTGATGCATGAAAGATTATTTGTATCCCCCTTACAAAAAGGAATATGGGGCAGGTACTTAAAAGGACAACTATACCTCTGGCACAAGTTTCCTTTAATGCATGGCCAAACGCCCCTGAGTGTAACCTACCTGGACTGATACTTACCTCTGGCCCCATTTTGGCAATCCTGATTGGACTGGCACATCCTGCGCAAGTGGGCAGCTGCTCCTTAGCAGGGACCCAGCAAGTATCAGACCAGGTGAGCTGCACTTAGGGGGGGGGGGGTCTATGCATTACAGGATACGATATCCTGTACAGATACAGTTGTACTTAAAAGTGGAACTCTGAATTTTTTTTTGTCTTTGTTTTAGATTAGACTAGGTAAGGTTTAGAATGTATCAGGTTTTATTTGTTTTGTTGGAAAATATTCTCCACATTTCCTGTACTAATGGCACCCAGAAAAAAAATTAGAATGCCCTCTAAAAGAATGACAAAAATAAATAAAACTGTTTTCATAATAGTGTAGGGAAAGGATCGAACCGCTATCAGATTTGTATTAATGCCTACTGTGAGCTCTATCCTCACTTTCTGTACTGCAACACAATTTAGTAGATAAAGAACTAGGGCTGTGGAAATTAAAGATTAATTTCTCGATTAATTGTTAATCTTTTTGATCGATTAAAATTATTTTGATCACTAATGAAAACACTCACCTTTCCGCCGGCTTCAGGGAGTCCCGTCGGCGATCCGGTGACATCACGGACATCGACGTCACCGGACTCCTCCCCCCTTCCCCAAGTGGCTCCGTCGGCTAAGGAAGGGAAGAGGAGTCTGGTGACGTCGATGTCCTTGACGGCTAACAAAGGGAAGGGGGGGGAGGAGTCCGGTGACGTCGATGTCCGTGACGTCACCGGACTCCTCCTCCCTTCGTTAGCTGACGGAGCCACTTGGGCCGGTGAGTTAGCCCAAGAAACTTTCTGCACGAGCGCCAGCCAAGGTATTGGCCTATACACATACAACACAGCAATGAAGTAATAAAATGAACTAGGATCACACTAATCCAGCACGTTATTAATCTGAGTTGCCCCACTCAAGCGGCGGCCATATTGAGTGGGGAACTTGAGATTAATAACGTGCTGGATTAGTGTGATCCTAGTTCATTTTATTACTTCATTGCTGTGCTGCATGTGTATAGGCCAATGTAGTTGGATCTGTATGCGAGTTATAATTAATCAAAATTAATCGAATACGAAAATTTTAATCATTACCAGCCCTATAAAGAACAGATGTCAGCGAAGTCTAAGGATTCCAAATTTATATTTCCTGTAATCTTTAAAATCATCACATTTTAATGGGAAATACCTGTTAAACTCCATTCTGCATCTTTCTCAGCTGGTTTTAGAGAAACCACAAAAATAAAAGGCCCGTCTTGCTGCGTGTGAGCAACATAAACCTGAGAAAGATACACGAAGTGTTAATATTTTTGACAGTCAACTGGACATAAAACCGTATTAATGAAAATAATAAAATCGTTAGAAATTAAAAAAGGCCGCAAAAAAAAAAGAAAAAACATAAGCAAAAGGTCACTTGCAATGAGCACTGTGTGTGAAAATGACTAGTAGATCTACAGATTTGCTCAGTATAGGGTTTCTGTAACCATACTGACTAGCTGAGAACATATTTGGCCTATGAAATCTGTCGGTTACGTCAACAAAGTCTCTGCATATCGAGAAATGTATCTGATACCTGCAAGACATGTCTAAATTTTCCTTACCTTTGAATGGGAAAGAAAAGGACTGGTCTTATTCTGGAAAACAAGAAAAAAACCTTTTATTACATTCTTGTTGCATTTTACTTCCGAGCATGACACACATTCTCCTATAATTGATAAACACATTTTGCAGTTAGATTTGTAGCATCTGAACACAAAAGATAATACTGCACAACGTTAAGAGTTGCAGGATATTTTGCAATAACCCTTTTGAAAACTTGTACCTTATCCAGCCAAAGATAACCACAATTTAGTCACTTAAGAAAAGTTGCCTTGTCATTTTTTAAAAACAAGCCCAAATATGCAGTTAAGGCCCAATTCACACTTGTGAATGAGGCCAGATAGCTTAGTCTTATAAATTCCTCTGTGCATGTAATCACAAATGCAGACCCAGCAGCCAACATTTTGCGCAGCTGCCAAGTCTTAATCGTGGCTGTCAGTGTCCTCACTGATGATCCAGAACCAGTCAGAGTGGTTTATGATTACATGATTATTATGGCAGCTCTAATCAAAACACAGGCTGAAGGCTCCACAGACAAAAGATACAAGCCTTCAAAGCAAAAATTATATATTATAAAAGAATATATATA